CACTTGGATTAAGCAGTAATGGTCTGGAGCTGTATGTTTTGTGGAAGATATCAGACATAGATTTCTTTACTTTAGAGTTTGGCCCAGAGTTAGTCGCTTCCTTTGGCATTTTCCATGCAAATGACTAACTCTTGTTGTAGACACTGTGCATGGGAGTCATGCTTCCAGATTGCCCCAGTCACCCTCACCTCTAGTTTCAATCCCTTGTGTAGTCTCCTTCTAGGCTGGGTCAGAGCTGAGCCCGTTCTGAAGACTCTAGGAGTGATAGTGTGTGCTGTGTTGTGATCACAGCTGTGAAGGGAATTGCTATACAAAAACTCTTCATTTTCAGACTATTTTATTGGTACAATCAGATGTTAATTCTCTAAAATATGGAGGCATTTCAAAGAAAGGGGAAAGAAAGGGAAATAAAGTTAAATGAGGAGACAGAGATATAGGGATCCTATTTCACTTTCTGCATTGTAAGATCACCGTGCTTTTTCTGCCAAATGATACGAGACATTTCTAATCAAACAGAGCATTGTGCGTGTCATTCAGCAATGTGTTCCTGCTAATTTCACAGCTCTGAAAAGGAGCTGACAGGCATCAGAAGAGAAAAATGGCAGCTAACGTAGGAATAATAGAAATGAGAAAATCAATGTGGAGATGTAATTGAAAGTAAGAACTGGTGATCGAGGTAATTGAATGGTAATATTGTGAGCAGAAACCAAGTAGGATCAAGTAACTGCAAGACGAGGCAGTTTACAGATATTTCCCTTTCTGGGATATGCACACCTCTGAGACTGTGGACAGAGAGGTTATCGGGCACGCTCATTTAAAGAGACTCTCAGTTCTAGTTTATTTCCATGTTGCTGTTGTTGTTTTCATTACAAAGGATGCTATGACACCTGGAATGGCTGTGCAACTAGGGCATGTTTGATCCTGTCTTTGTGACGATCTCAGCAATAGAATGAATTGCTTCCTGTCCACTCACTCCGAGGCACACCGGACCTGAACGGTGACCTGGAATTCTGCAGCTGCCTCAGAAAGCTCATTCCACCTCTCCAGCCTCAGTTCCTGGAAGCAAATCCCACTGAAAAGCGCTATTTATTTTCCTTTCCCAAATGAGAGATAAAAGAAGATTTTAATGTGTTTTTATTGGGAAAATGAGTGCTCTTAATGGGCATTTTTCTTACAAAGCCAAAATAACTCCGCGTGAGAAACATTTCTCCAGCATGACTGCATGCGGCCCTTCACAGCCTCTGCCTATCCATTCCCTGAAATCAATACTGCATTAAGGTTGGAGTCGGAGGAGGTGGATTGTGTGACCTTGGGCGAGTCACTTAATCTCTCTGCCACAGTTGGTGTGAACAAACTGAAAATAATTCCAGCTGCTTCAAGGAAGGAGAGTAAGATTAATGGTAGCAAGACTTTTAGACAATTGTCTCTGTGGCAATTTCTTCCACTCCCTTTTTTTTGTGTGTGTATGTGTGCTTTTTTTCAATGTTTGATTTTCTTTAGAATCCAAATTCAACCACCCACATATTGACACAAAGACAAAGCTACTTCCAAACGCAGGATGGCAATGCCTGCACTCGGCTGAATTTTATATCTCTGCACACAGGGAGCACTCCTAAGGGTCCTCCATTTCCCCTTTGTGGGAGGAAGAGGAAGGCAAAAGAGAAATCCATTTGGAAAAGAATTCTTGCCTACATGTTATTCTCTTCACCTCACTGGGGTAATCTGGTGGCTTCTCACTCTCCAGCATCCTCTTCCCTCAGCCCCACTGTGTCTGGGCCCTACATTTTGTCTGCCTTTGTTCCACTAACCCATGTCATTGATGACCCAGTTTGGTCTTGCTCTTCCAGATTCCTCTATTCCTTCTAGAACATACCTCTAGTGTTTGCCCCATACCTTCAAGGCTCTGACTATAGGGGATTAACCAATTCTACTGACTCACTGAATGAGAGCCTAGTGACCTCACCAACTCTTCCAGTTGCCATCCTGACTCTCCTATTCCTTAGCTTTTATACTTTTTGTGAGGGTAGTTTTCTCTCACCACCTCTACTCCTCACCCATGACTATCCAGCTACTTCTTTATGACTCTATTCAAATTGTTCTTTCTTTACCTCCATTCTGAGATCACTCCATTCCAGAAATGTGAGCATCAACTAAAGTTGAGTCTTAGTCCTCTGATCATGTTCATTCAATTGTGTCTTTAAATATATTTTATTGGTTTTTCACAAAGAGGAAGGGAGAGAGATAGAAAGTTAGAAACATTGATGAGAGAAACATCAATCAGCTGCCTCCTGCACACTCCCTACTGGGGATGTGCCTGCAACCAAGGTACATGCCCTTGACCGGAACCAAACCTGGGACCCTTGAGTCCGCAGGCCGACGCTCTATCCACTGAGCCAAACTGGTTAGGGCTCAATTGTGTCTTTAAATTAACTCACCCATTTTCTTGGCTTCAACTACCACTTCTATGTGGGTGAATCTTACATCTATGGTTTTAGATAGTTCCTCCCACAATTTGTTTTAAAATATTCTTTCCTATCATCTGTCAATCCCAAAGCACACATGGAAGGCTTGAGAAGGTTGCATTAGGAGGGATTTGGAATACCATACTACAGAGTTTGAATTTTTATCCTACAGAGAGTTGATTGAAGATATTTAATTAAAGATATTAAAAACATGATCTAGATAAATTTATCACTTTTCATTCAACAGTTGATTGGAGGATGGGTTGAGGGCAGAAAGCTGGGCTTCCCTGGTTAGGAACTCTGGTTCTCAAGCTGTTTCCAGCCTTGTGCAGTCACCATACTGCAACCAAATCTTCAATTCTTGTGCATCAGAAAAGCAGAAGCAAATAGTCAAGCTCAAAATAAGGAGTAAGGCTTGATTCCCCCTTCTTCCCTGCCAAATATATCCAATGTCATCGTGGATTATTAATTCTTCCACTGTCACATACAGTCTGTGTTGTCACTTCAAATTCATTTGCCATATTTTTCCCTTTTCAATCCTGGCCCTTACCTTTTTTTAGACTTAAGAAATAGTCACCTGATCAATTCATTTTAACTTCTGCAGCCATCTAAACATTCCATACTGTAGGTCTGGAGAAACCATTCTCCTATTCAGATAATCTTAGTAGACTTATAGGCCAACCGAGGAACTCTGAACTACTTAGCCCTCACCCTAAATATAATCTGTATCATTTCCACCACATGCTTTTGCTTAAATCATTTTATTAGCTCAATAGTGAGTCAATAGAATGCAATTGTTCTTTGATTTTCTGTATTGACCCAGTACTTCCCTCTTTCCATCATTCAAGGCATGCATTGCTATCATGGCTCTTCTAGACTCAATCCACATCTCCAGTAGTTTATTTATAGATTACATCTCTTGAGATTCAGAGAAATAAAATTGCTCTTCCCTCGTATTTCTTGCAGTTGGTATCATTGATGAGACTGGAACATCCTAGTAGATGACGAAAGATTTTACCTTGCCAGTTGGAGGCACAGCTTTCTAATATCCTCACACGGCTGCACCTTAATGCACAGGTATTTGATGTTTTCCTTTTGACCCACTTCCTGAACCTCTGGCCTTGGGATCCAGGGAAAGGAATGCACTTCAGTTTCAAAGCATGTGTTGGCCAGCAGTTACTTATTTCAATCCAGCCTCATCGGCATTTGAGTTCGTGAAAATTCCTCTAAATTCAAGATATATTATTCTTATTTTTTAGTGCTATTGTAAGGGTTTATATTTTCTGTTTCTTCAGAGGTATTTAATTTGGCAGTTGGGGAACTGCATTAAACACAACTAACTAGTTGCTATTTTAAAATGGAAACCCATTTTTTGTTGACATTTTAAAAGTTCTCTGCAAACAGATGCTCAAAAGAAAAATGTGGACTATATGGAGTGAGTTTATAAAGGCAGAAAGTAGCTGCTGTATTCCACACATGAAATACACATGCCTCGCTCTTGTCAGACTTACTTCTTTTGTTTCCTGGACCACACCAGAGTTCTTTTGTGACTCAGGCCTGCACACAGGCTGCTTTCTCTGCACGGACCCCACCCTTGACCCCCACATATACTCCCATCCGCCTCCATCCGAGATCCTACTTTATTCTTTATGACTCAGCTTAAATGTCACCTCTCCACAGAGGCAGTCCCTGACTTCTCAATATGAATCCACTGTTACACCATTTTCTATCTTATAATTCCGTTGAGAGCCCTTACCACAATCTGAAAATAATATCAGTATGGTCGTTTGTATAAAATCTGTTACCTACTCTAATCTCTACTCCAACTGCATAGAGTGTTTGCTCTGAAATGGCAGAAGAGCACCTGCCAGTGTTGCTCAGTGATTAGAACATCAGCCTGTGCACCCAAGGGTCTTGGGTTCGATTCCATGTTAAGGGCATGTACCTCCATTGCAGTTTCACTCCCCACCCTGGTTGGGGTGCGTGTGGGAGGCAGCCAGTCAATGTGTCTCTCTCACATCAATGTTTTCTCTCCCCTTCTCTTCCTCCCTTCCTTCCTTCTACTCTCCCTGAAGAGCAATGGGAAAAATATCCTCAGGTGAGGATTAACAAAAAAATAAATAAAATGGCAGAAGAGGTGTGCTTTATCTGACACTATGTATCAAAAGTCTAGCATAGTTTTTTGCATGTGATAGGAGATAGGAAATAAAAATGTGTTTTTAAATGAAATTGGAGGACACAGACATGATTAAGAATGAATAGCTTATACATAGATTTATATACTTTATATAAAGCTTCATATACTTTTTATAGTCTATATATTTTCACAAACATTCATTTTGAAATAATGGTCGCACTATGAGGCAGATGATACCATAAGTCTTAAAACCTTTAAGTCCTGAATCAATTTCAAATTCTTTCAACCATTTCTCAAGAAAGAATTGCTACTAACTAAGCAAGACTTCAAAAAAAAAATGCTCAGAGCAATTTTAAAACCAGGGTTAGTCTATTCTTGCTTAGAAATAATTTCAGGAAATCTGAAAGATTGAAATAGTTATTTAATAAACATATCTTAAATTGAACACATGTCAAATATCCATGGCATTTCCTGATGGGGCCTCACTAGTGTGAGAATTTAAAAGTAAACACATTAAAGATGTTTAATCACTCCATCTTTGCAAATTACAAATGTACATTATTCCGTGCAGTAGCTTTGATTCTGAAATGTGCAAAATGTTTTTTAACGGTTGCAGTCTGACGGGAATTCTCTAGAATAGTTCGTTTCCTTCTTAAAGTAATCTTTTGGTCAAGGCTTTCAAAGTGAGGAGCCTTTTATAACACGAACTATTGCCTTTAATTTGTCTCATTTGCTGGGAATTATTTGACTATTGAATTTTCTCAAAGAAGGGCTCATGTGGAGGAAGTAGTGCCATCATGGGGCAAACAATCCCCTAGGAAACTTGCTAACTCAGCCCAAATCTCAGGCAAGCATAATTCTATTTTGTGCTTTTATAAGCAGGAAAGAGGAAAGAATACAGTTTGGAAACTACTAAGACATCTCTTGTTTTTCCTTTAAAAAACAAAAACAAAACAAATGTCTCTAATCTAGATTACTTAAATCACCATGATCAAGAGAGAGAAAAACTGAGCTTTGGAAATGAGGCTCAAAGGGTTAAAAGAACCTTAGTGGAGGGTCGTAGTTACGGAGCTGCTGACTGCCTCTCTCGCACATGGACACAGGATTTCTGCTTCTCTGTTCTGGGCTGTTAATGCCTGTGTAAAGTGGGGAGCATGACAACCCTGTACATAGGTTTGCAGTGAGAGTTGAATGAGGTATCTCAGAGAAAGCCCTTGGTATAGTGCCTGGCATATAAAAAACAGCTATTAAGATAGCCTATACCTATGAACACAAATCTAAACCATATCATTATCCTATATGCTCTTTGCTTAATGAATGATACACAACTCTTGGGGGCGGGGAAAGAGCAACTGATGGAAATTAAAAAAATGTTTTACTATCCCTATGTATTTCTATCATTAAAATGTAGACATTTAAAACAGGAATGGATACATGTTTGAACAACTTGTGTCTGTGAGAGACTGTGTGTGTGTGTGTGTGTGTACGTGGGTGATCATGATATTTTTACAGGAAAATCAAGAAAGCCTCTTAGGATGGTACTATTTCCCTGTTCTGGATGGGCCTTGCCGTCACCAACTCCTCCTGAGAGTGCCCTGGAAGAAAGGGAGTCCTGGTTTCATTGTTTTCCATCTGGTTCCAACTGAGGAAAAAAGAATAAAATAGAAAATACCATTTGTGCTTTACTTAGGTTACACCTTATACTGTTTGGGGGAGAAATGAATGGAATAGGCACTTTTCCTGCTAGAATAGAATGTGTCCTTCTACTCCTCTCTTCCACGTGGTCATTCCCAAGTCCCCAGACTTGCCACTATGCTAACTGCAAGCCAACTTCTGACAAGAGAAAATACAGGTTCTCTTCTCTGTTCTTACTGAATCACTACGACTAAGGGATTCTTAGGGCTGGGACTCTAAACACTGTGCAATTTCTAAGAAATTCACCAAGCTGTTAACGCAGTAAATATCTGTTTAATTTACAAACATCAGTAGTGTCACTGATATTAGTCTGGAGAAAGACAGAGCACATCCGAATGATACATGTACATCTAATTGTCTTTGTAAAAAGAGCTTTTGGAAAGAAACATCTGCATCTTTACAGGGTACCCTGGGATTCTGAGGAGGGAAGAGCACAGTCCACTATAAATCACTCTCAATTCTACATTATAATTTAGCAGCAAACATGTTAACATGGGAACATTAGGGTCATAAAGGAGCTTTATTGTTTTTTTGGGGGGAAAAATCACAGTTCTTGTCATTACAGCCTTTTCTTTTGCCACTCCACTCCCCCAAAGGGCCAAAAGGGTCAAGGACGTATTAATTTGTAACAGATCTACTTCCTAGTGTCAATTGCTACGTGCCTTCTCTGTTCTGTGAGGACAGTTGCAGCGGCCACTTTGTGTACAAGGTCTGTCTCACTCATAGACTTTACAAGGCTCTGCGGGTGTCCTGGGTGAGGCCAGTAGGTCAGTGACACCAGTGGTCAGATGTCCAAGTAAACAACAGACCAACACATCTTTACCCCCAGACATCACCCTATGTTAGTACTATTGCCAAAAAGATCCTGATTTTTAAGTTTGAAAAAAATGTACAAAAATATCAGGACAATTATAAATTAATATATATTAAAGCATCAAGAAACAGCAAAAGGATGGCCTAACATGTTAAGCACAATGTACTTTGATACAATAAATATTTCTCATGAAAACGGAATACTGTATAGGGCTGTTTAGAACTCATAGAAACAAAAAAAAATCATATTACTAATTTATTTATCAATAATCTATTGGTTCTTTATCATCTCCTTTATCGTTTATATTACAAAAAAAATTAATACTGGAAAACGGTCGATAAACACTTTTGTGTGCTTCTTGTGCTAGCATGCCGACCTGTATAAAAACACGATAACATGTTAGCACGAGTGGGACCCAGGTCTCCTGGGGCCTCTATATTTTGCACAAAATATTTCTCATCCATGTGTCCTATCTGCGACTCCTGGGCTCCATCCCTCCGCCTCGCATCCTCACTCACACATGTGCTTGGTCCCCGTGGGCCGCAGTGACTCAGATGCGGGCTCACGGGCCTGTGCGCGGGCCAAGTTCAAGTTCAGGCTCGCGGCTGGCTCCCTGGGTATGTGCTTGGTCCCCATCGCTGTTCCAATGCCTCCGGGTGACCTCCCTTCCCACGTCTCCGGCGTCGGGGAAGCTGTGGTTCACGCATTACTATTTTTTTTTCTTCCAAATGCAGAAAAAAAAGTCTTTATTCTCATAATAAAAATAAGTCTGTTCTGTATCTTACAATATATTTCAAATATTTCCACTAGGAAGCACTCGCGAGTGCAGCGTGGCCAAGCGGGAGACAGCATCTGCCAGGACAGCAGCCCCGGGAGGCGGTTAGGAGGCGCACCTGCTGCAGCCGCACTTGACCACCTTCTCGACCTCCTCCACGAAGGACGACCCGTCCGTGCATTCGAAGGAGTATTTCCGCCGCTTGCTCCGCAGGGGCCCGCAGCACTGGCCCCCCGCGCACCCGCCTCTGCACTCCAGCCGGGACACCTTCTTGGTTGTCTGGCAGGCGGCGTAGCCCTGCTGTTTCTGGTAATAATCTCTGATCCGCTCGCCTTGGCAGGAGACTTCTAGGGAAGAACACAGAGCACACACAGGCTGTGAGTCATGCGGAGGGGGTGCGAATCCGCCCTGGAGCCAGCAGGGGGCGCCTCTCCTTCCTGTCCCTTCCTGCTATTGTCAGTTATAGGGCATATAGGGACTGGTGGCTTGGCCTGCTGTTCTTAGAAAAAAAATGCTTCTTTGGGGCCTTTATTTTCAGTGAATATTGTCAGCGTGAGCTGTAACTACTATGGCCACTGGACTGACAAGAAAATTGGGTCCCTAACCCTTTTTCTTTTTTTTATGGCAAAAATGCGCCTCTTCTGTTTTTACACTCCCAGCAGCTGGATCTGTTTACCGCAGGGAGACGTTTCCGAGAGTATGCGGTTTAATTTATTAGACCTGGGGTTTAACATCATTCAGTCTGTTACTTGATACAAAGAACATTCCACGGACTTCATAAATTACCCCGGTAAGAACGAGTTCAAAAAGAGCCATCTGCTCAGAGCTTCCGTGGGCACGTTCCCCTCGTCAGCATCTGGGCCAGCTGGAGGCCGGGGCGAGCTGGTCCCACAGACGCCAGGGAGGGGAGAGGCGGGCAGCACCTCAGCCCCGCCCCATCCCTCGCACCTGCATAATGCGCTGGGATAAACCATTCTGACTCTAATGTCAGAGGTGGTTTTATCCTCAAGCTAGAGCCTCTTTATTAGCTCCCTCTTTGTGCCAGGAGACAAACTGGTAAATATATTTGGGGGAGAACATCGGATAAAGGTAAGAAAGGAGTCCAGTTAGGTGGGCTGCCAACATAAGGCAGAAGGGAGGGTTTTCACAGCAGATCAGCGTGGGAGCAGACAGGTAGGCGGGTACAATCTTGACGCGGAAGGTTAGGACAGCTCCCCTTTGCTGCCTTCATGACACTGGGACATCAATCATTAGCAGCAACTACAAGTCCTGGAAGTCCTGGCCTTCCTCCTCTCACTCCCCCCTCTCTGGCTCACTCCCATTGTCTCCCTTTCTCTCTCTTTTCAAAGACAAGGCCCTCTTGCTTTTCTAAGACGCGGAGGTGCCCAGCTGGTTGGCTTACCTCGGTCACAGCTGTCGCCGGTGTATCCGCTGCTGCACTCACAGTAGGGCTGCCCCAGGCCCGACAGCCTGCATTTCCCATGCTTACACCTGATGGCCTGGCAGGGGTTAAACAGGTCCTCCTCTTCGTCACACAGGACGCCCCCGTGGCCCTCCAGGCACTTACAGCTGTAGGAGAAGGCGTTGATGGGCAGGCAGGTGCCATGCACACATCTGCAGAGAGGAGAAGGCAGGAATGATGATGCATGAGCAGAGAGGAGGAGGATGGAGGAAATATGAAGGAGAGAGTTTAAGGGGCTGACTCCCTCCCTCCCTCTCTCCCTTCCTCCTCCCCTCCCTTTCCTAGGGTTTGCTTTGAGGATTGCCATATGCATGTTTCACTAACAAGTAACCCGAACTTACTTATTTCCAAGACAGGGGTCATTGGTCCTCTGGTCACAGAGGGGCCCGGTCCATCCTTCCTCACACTCACAGGAGAAGCCAGACTGGCTGCTGGCCTGGCATGTGCCGTGGGCACACACCTTCTTGTGGCACGGCTCACATCCGGGCAGAATGCCGGTTTGCATGGGCACCTTGCGGAAGTCCTGCAGCTCGCTGTTGATGTAGAGGTTGCGGATGCAGCCGTGGAAACTGGTGCCATTCTGCCCAGGGGCCTGGCGCAGGGCGGCAGCCACGTTGTTGTTTTTCCCGGGCATGCCTGGGGAGGGACAGCGAGTCAGAGAACAGGCTCTTTGGGGACTCCTCAGCCATTGACCACCCCGATGCTCTTAGCTCTCCGGCGGGGTGGCAGTGTGTGGGACACGCTATAGGAGAGACTGATGGCATGGGCATCCGGTCCTGTGGTCTCAACCTGGAAGCACTAGGGAATCCCATGGGCTCTTTGAAGAAACACTGTTGCTTGGGACCTCAACCCAGACCTCCTTGATCCGATTTTCAGGGCAGGGTGGGGAGGGAGAAGAGATGTGTGTTTCTTTTTGCTTTTTTAAAAATTATATTTTTATTTATTTCAGAAAGGAAGAGAGAGGTAGAAAGATAGAAACATCAACGATGAGAGAAAATCACTGATCAGCTGCCTCCTGCATGCCCCACACTGGGGATGGAGCCTGAAACCTGGGCATGTACCCTGACTGGGAAGGGGCGACACTCAACCACTGAGCCACGTGGGCTGAGCAACTAACTATCTTCTTGACAATTCCTGTTGCTTTCCTGGATTGCAGCTTTTTTGCCCCGTATCCTGTTTCAGAAGGTCTGGCAGATTCCCGTTGCTGATCTCAGAGCCTCCACCTTTCAAACAAAGCTAATTCCTGCGGCAGGAACACTTTTTTAAAAAAAAAAAAAAAAAAGAAAGGAAGAAAGAAAGGAAGGAAGGAAGAAAAACAGTGACCTCAATGGAAGATTATTATGAAGTTTAGCAGAGAAGTACTCAGAATTCAGGAGGAGATAAAAAGAAGTTTGGGTAGAAAAATTTTTTAAAAATTATATTTTTATTTATTTCAGAGAGGAAGAGAGAGGTAGAAAGATAGAAACATCAACGATGAGAGAAAATCACTGATCAGCTGCCTCCTGCATGCCCCACACTGGGGATGGAGCCTGAAACCTGGGCATGTACCCTGGCTGGGAATCGAACCATGACCTTCTGGTTCATAGGTTTACAACTCCACCACTGAGCCATACCAGCTGGGCGAGATGTGTGTTCTCTGCTTCTCTTTTTAAAGAAAATACTCTGGGCAATTTTAATGTACAACTAGAGAAAGGACCTAGTTCATTGATGGTCAATCTTCAATTTTTTTTCATTTTTTTTATTATTATTAAGGTATTACAGATGTGTCCTCGGGATTGATAGCCTGATCGCTGTTTCTCAGTCTTTGGGTCTGTCCCTTTTCATCAGTCTATGTTGTTCTCTATAATCCACGAATGAGTGAGATCACGTGGTATTTATCTTTCTCTGACTTTTTAATATTTGCTTCAAACCAAACCTGACATGAAGGCATACATATATAAAACCTAAAAGCTGAGCTACTGTTCCCAAAAGGCAGGATTGGGAAGTGGGTGGGGGTAGTACTCTCTCCCGTCTCCACACTCAACCCCTCTACCTGGACACACACACCCCCCCCCACCCCCCCAGAAGCCTGGAGTTCCACAAAGCAAGGTTAGTAATCTCTGACTAATCCTAACACTTAAAGACAAAAGGCCCAAGGCCCAAGGCCCAAGGGTCTACTCAATGTCACCCAGCAGGACTGAGTTAGAGTCAGGCCATGAGATGAACCTCTGCAATCTCTCATCACAGTTCAGTCCATCCGGATTCAGAGGGTGAGAGCTGGGGGTTCACAGTGACTGTGACCCTGGTCCTGCCAAATTCTAAGCTAGCAACTAATCCAGGTCACTGCTGGTAACATCCGGAGCACAGCCGTGGATGCCAGGGCCTCAGACACTCGCCGTGCTTCCTGTCAGGACAGCACCTCATTCACATCATTGTTTTTCTTGCTAATTGAGAGGGAAACCATCCTATTCCAAGACATCGGAAATACAAAAGAAATTCCTCCAAACACAGAATTAGCAATCTCTGTATATATTCATTCCACTAGTGATAGTCATGGAGTAACCCACATTTGGCAACACTGAGGAATCTTTCCACGGCCTAAGCCAGACCCCGAAATAGCTCCTGGATGAGATCCCACAGGAGGCAACTGTCCAGGTCGCAGTGGGAGAAGGGGAGGATGGTGGAGGCTTGCAGAGAAGCTGATTTCCTGCTGGCTGTTCATGTCCTCCATGTGCCTGGACTCTGAGCTTCTGGCTGGAGGGTTCAAGAGGGGAAAGCCCTGGCTCTCACGTTCTAGGGGGTTCAATGGTTACAAAGACCAAGAACCTGAGTACTCCCTGGGCCCTGCCTCATGGCATCATCATCTTTCCCATTCAAAGGAGCCAGAGTCAGACAGCTAAGTGCACAGCATCACAAGGCTAGAGGTCTAAGTCTCTATTGGTGGTTCTGGGTGCACTTGGGCTGGTCTAGACCTTGGTTTTCTCATCTACAACATGAATGGATGGACTAAAACAGTTGTTTCCAAGCTGGTCATACATAAGAACCACCAGAAGTGCATGCCCTGAAGGCGGCGCCCCGACCCCCTTCTCTCCCCTCCCT